GGGTGTTGAGCATGGGGTCCCTCTGACCTCAGAAGCCCTGATGAGATATTAGTGGGATGTGGTCACTCAGGGTGCAGGTAAGCAGCTTGTTCCTACCAAGTCCCTCACCCCCATATCTGCTCCTCTCCCAGAGGAGCTGCAGTGTCCACACTCTGAGCCCTGTATTCAGAGTTCACCATCAGGATGGACACTGGAATTTGGCTTCAAGTTCCTCTCTACAAACAGAGCAGGGGACCCAAGCTGGGGCAGTGTCAAGCATACACATTCCCGGCAACCCTGTCTGAGGGGTACCTGCTCAAGCTATTTCCTGCTATCTTGTTGACCAGATGACCACTTGATTGAATGGCATGCTTTTCAGCCAGATGCTATGGACACGGACTTAGGCTGGAAACAATTTGGACCTTGAATACATCGGAGTAATGGAGCTGTCTTAGATGAAAAGGATCCTGGAATTTTGGGCTGGCAGGCAAAATGGAGCATGGGCTCAGGAATCAGCTCCACCCCCTTCTGGCTGTGGGGCCTGAACAGGTGACTTTAGCCATCTGAGCTGTTTTTCTCCTCCAACATGGTGTGTTAGTTACCTATTGCTGCATGGCAAATCACACTAAAATTTGGCAGTGGCTTAAGACAATAGACATTTACTATCTCACACAGTTTCTGCGGGTCAGGAATCTGGGAGGAGCCCAGCAGGGTGGTTTTGGCTCAGGGTCTCTAGGAGGTCGCTGCCAAGTTGTCAGCTGGGGCTGCAGTCATCTGAAGGTTTCTCTGAAGCTGGAAGATTCACTTCCAAGGCGGCACACTCACATGGCTGGCAAGTTAGTGCTGACTGTGGGCAAGAGACCTCAGTTTCTCCCCCACGTGGACCTCTCCTTGGGACTGCTTGAGTGTCCTCACAACATGGTGGCTAAATTCCTCTCGGAGTGAGTGATCCAAGAGAGCAATCTCCTTTATGACCAAGCCTTAGAAGTCACACTCTGTCATTCCCACAATATCCTAGTGGTTATACTACACAAGGGCATGAACACCAGGAGGTGGGGATCACTGGGGTGCACACAGTGGACTCTTTGTCCCCACCAGGAAGAGTTGCAGTGAGGAGTAAATGAGCTCACATAGATGGACTACCTGATATATAAAGGGATGCCATGATTAGCTTGAACTGAAAATTTACCACCCTGTAGCTGCCTCTCACTTTCTGCGGCATTTCTAGGCATCTTCAAGACCTTCTGCCATTCTTCCATTTAGCGAAATGTTTATTGAGCACCTACTGTGCCAAGTCGCGTGCTGGGTACTGAGCACACTACAGTGAGGAAGGCAGCCTGGTCCCTGCTGTTCCAGGCTACATAGGACATAAGTTCACACCATATAGCAGAGGGGCTGGCAGGTGCAGAGCTGCTTTGGATAGGGTGGTCAGGGAAGGTTTCTTAGCGGAGGCAGTCTGTGAGTTGGGACCTGAACGAAGTGAAGGAGCAGTCATGCAGATAAACCGGGGTAGAGCATTTCAGGCAGAGGGACCAGTGAGGGCAAAAGCCCCACGATGGGAGCAAATGTCAAGGACTAGAATGGAGGCCAGGGGGTCGGGGCAGGAAATGAGGTTGGAAAAGCCCAAGTAAGAAGATTGGCTTTTAGTCTCTGGATCATGGGAGTCTTGGAAAGGATCTGAGTGGGTGGGGCTGTGGAGGTGGTGAGAAATGGTGGGATGCTGGAGATGTGTTGAAGGTAGAGTTGTTTTTGAAAGACTTGCTATTGAATTTGGCTGGGGTAGGAGAGAAGGAAGGGTCAAGGATTTCTGACCTGAGCACCTGGAAGGATGGTGTTGTTATGAGCTGAGGTAGGGGAGACCATGGGAGGAGCAGGTTCGAGGGTGGGAGATCAGGGGTTTGATTTTCAGACCTGTCGGGCATCTGGGAATGGCAAAGAGGCAGTTAGAGATACGAGGGAGAGGTTGGGTGGAAGATGTAAATTTAGGAGTTGTCAGATATAGGTGGTGTTTAAAGCCATGTGGCTGGATGAGATCACCAGGAGAGAGAGTGTAGAAAGAAGCAAAGAGCACCTAGTTCCTCTAGCGCTTAGAGGTCAGAGGAGGAGAACCCTGCAAGAAGTGGAGCAGATGTGGCAAGAGATGGAGGAGGAGAATAGGAGGGGACACCCAGAGAGGAAAGGCACAATGCAGCACAGCCTGCCTCTCTCTACCTCCGCTTATACCCCAGGCAGCACCAAGGCCCTAGAGGCCCATAGAGCCCATCCTTCCCCTTTCATGCATCACCCTTCAGAGACCTTAGGCAGTGTTTGTGTCCTCTGTGGGCTGCTGTAAGCATCCCAGACTGTTCAGCCATTCCTTCTTACGTCATTTCTAGCCCTTCATCACTTGACTTACCCTCCCATGCCCCACTCCAGTTGTCTGCCTCTCTCTTACCAAGCAGGGCTCAGCACTAAGCAGGACTATCCCCTCCCTCCATTTAGACTTTCTACCTTTGTTAATGCAACCTTAGACAGAAGCAGCCTTTTTGATAGCAGCACATACAGAAGATATGAGTGGGGAATGGCAAGGGGTTTGGGCTGACTGAAGGGAAGGGTTGTGAGGAAGGAAAGTGGGATTGGGAACATCTGAAAAAGGGTATGGGTTAGATCAGGGAAGGTCTTGACTGCCACGCCAAGAAGTTTGGACTGAGGAAGAACGAGGTATCTGTAGAACATTCTGGATTAGAGGAGTGACACGGATGAGTTTTGCTTCAAGAAGAGCCATGCTGGGATCTGTTCCTGGCCTTGTCCCTAATTAGCTCTCTCATGCTCACAGGTCAGCTCTGGCTCCTGGATGAGTGGGGGTAGGGCAGGGAGGCCCCACTCTGGGCAAGTGGGGGGGTAGTGGCTACAGGCACAGACGCACCACGGAGCATGGAGGGCTCCTGGGTGGCAGCAGTTCCGCTGGTTCCCCCACGTTTCCGTGAGGGCAATGAGGCTTATATTAATGAGAGGTAATTATGGGCAACCGATGGGCCTAAGTATAGCTCAGAGACAAAGGCGATGCGAGGCAGCCAGCTGCTTCCCACTGGAAGGCCGGGGCCTGCCTATTTTAAGACCTCCCCAAGGTGAGGCTCCTGCCACCCAGGGGTGCTGAGGGCTTGTGCTCACTGGGCCAGGAAGCCTGACTGAGACAGCTCAGAGGAAGTCAGTGCGACCACACCCTCAGCCCATCCTTACTCAAACCCTCTACTCCCAGGGGGGGAAACTGAGCCCAGAGAGGGGAAGAGACCAGTCCAATATCATAGCAAGAGCCAGGATTTGAATTCAGTCCAACTCATGCACTTTCCACTCTGCGAGGCAGCACCCCTAAACCAGAAGCCTTGGCCTGCTCCCAAGAAATACAGGGTAGTGAGGGGAACGTGACTGATATTTATCAAGCACTAAGTTCCAGAGGCTTTCTATATGACATCACAGTTAATCCTCATCATAATCTTGGAAAGCAGGCATCACTGTCCCCACATTATGGAGAGAAAAACTGAGGCCCCGGAAGAATAATTAAACCGCCAAAGGTACCACAGTGAGGAGAGAAAGAAGTAGAGCCCAGTTCTGTCCTGTCTTAGATCAGCTCTGAGATTTGCACACAGAAGTTTATTGGGAAGTCTCAGGAACCCCTATGAGAGGTGAAGGGAGCAGGATAGGGTAGAGGGAGGAGTTGAACTATGATGCAGTCACAACAAAGGCCACAGCTGATCCCATGGGCAGCTTTGGAGCTGGGATGGCCCTTCAGGGTTGTTCTGAATTGGGGCAAAGGGGCCAGGCCTTTGTACCTCCCACATCAACTGGTTATTGGACACAGGCTGTCCCCAGGGAAGGAGTCTAACCTTGGATGAGGATCTCCCCCGGCTGAGAGCAGTTCCTGCGCAGGGGCACAGCTGTGAACTCCAGCAGCCAGTGCTCCTGGCCAGTGAAGGCATGAGAGCCTCGGAACTGAAGGAGGGATCTGGACGGCCACCACAGCACCCACACCATGTCCTACTGCATTCATCATTTCAACCATTTAAAGGGTACAGTTCAGTGGTCTTTAGTATATTCACAGTGTTCTGCAACCATCACCACTATCCGGTTCCAGAACATGTTCATCACTCCAAAAGGAAGCCCCACGACCATTCGGCAGTCACTCTTCCTTCTCCTCTCCCCTCAGCCCCTGGGGACCACTAATCTACTTTTTGTCTGTGTGGATTTACCTATTCTGGACATCTTATAGAAATGAAATCAGACAATATGTGGCCTTTTGTGTCTCTCTGCTTTCATTTACGTTTCAGGGTTCATCCATGTAGCAGTACTTATTTTTTTTTATTGCTGAATAATAGTCATTGTGCGGATATACCACATTTTGTTTATCCATTTATCTGTTAATGGACATTTGGGTTGTTTGCACTTTTTGGCTATTGTGAATAAGCTGCTATGAACATTCACGTACAAGTTGGAGTGGCTGTTTTGGGGGCATGTGGACAGGGTTTCGGCATGTAGGCTGGGGTGCCCTCATGTGAGCCTTCTCAGGGTGAGGGACAGAGTCAGAGAAGGGAAGCGATGCAGGGTGGGCAGCTATCCCCCCCCACCACCACGTTCCAACACGGAATTCAGAGGAGACCAAGAATTCTGAGTTCAAACCTGGCTTTCCAGGTAATTATGGAGATATATTCATCAAGGTAGGAGAGTAGAACATATTTTGTTTGACAGTTTTTTCACTTGATTTGGAATTTTTAAATATCTACACATATAGCAGGTGGGCCTCCGTTAGTACCTTGTTCTGGGCCCCACTGTGTCAGGGAAGGCCGAGTTGGAGACTCCACTGACCTCAGAGCTTCTCCCAGCTCAGATCTGTGGTGGTCTGGCCGACCTTACAGGCACCTGTCACCTCCCAGTCCAGCCAACTGTCTGACCCTTCTCTGTCTTCTCTCCCCAGGATAGCTGCCACCTGGGAGAGGTGACCTGGGTGCCCTGCTAGGGCGACAGCCCCTGCCCCGCGGGCCGGGATCATGAAAGGCCTCAGTGACAGCCGCCCCCGCCACCTCTCCGACAGCCTGGACCCACCACATGAGCCCCTGTTCGCAGGGCCTGACCGAAACCCTTACCTGCTATCGCCCACGGAGGCCTTCGCCCGTGAGGGTCGCTTCCCTGGGCAGAACGCTCTGCCAGGGGATGGCCTCTTCCCACTCAACAACCAGCTGCCACCACCCAGCAGCACCTTCCCCCGCATCCACTACAACTCCCACTTCGAGGTGCCAGAGGAGAGCCCCTTCCCCAGCCATGCCCAGGCCACCAAGATCAACCGGCTGCCTGCCAACCTCCTGGACCAGTTTGAGAAGCAGCTGCCCATCCACCGCGATGGCTTCAGCACACTCCAGTTCCCCCGCGGTGAGCCTAAGGCCCGTGGCGAGAGCCCTGGCCGCATCCGTCACCTGGTCCACTCAGTCCAGCGGCTCTTCTTCACCAAAGCACCCTCACTGGAGGGCACAGCGGGCAAGATTGGTGGCAATGGTGGCAAGAAAGGTAGCCTGGAGGACGGCAAGGGCCGGAGGGCCAAGAGCAAGGAGCGGGCCAAGGCTGGAGAGCCCAAACGGCGCAGCCGCTCCAACATCTCAGGCTGGTGGAGCTCTGACGACAACTTAGATGGCGAGGGTGGCGCCTTCCGCAGCAGTGGTCCAGCCTCTGGGCTGATGACCCTAGGCCGCCAGGCAGAGCGCAGCCAGCCGCGCTACTTCATGCATGCCTACAACACCATCAGCGGGCACATGCTCAAAGCCACCAAGAACAACACCACCGAGCTGACCTCCCCACCACCCCCGCCTGCTCCCCCAGCCACCTGCCCCAGCCTTGGGGTGGGTACTGACACCAACTACGTCAAGCGGGGCTCCTGGTCCACTCTGACCCTCAGCCACACCCATGAGGTCAGCCAGAAGACCTCAGCCACTTTGGATAAGAGCCTGCTAAAGTCCAAGTCCTGCCACCAGGGTCTAGCCTACCATTACCTGCAGGTGGGTTTCTGCCAGGATCAGGGGTAAGTGAGGAGACACCATATCGAGGCCCAGCTGTACCACAGATTTACTTGGGAAATCACTTCACTCTGGGCCTCTGTTTACTGGGCTTCGAAATGGGTGACTGTGATACTTGCTAATAAGGGAATTCCTTCCACTGGTCATGTTCTCAGCAGACTTCAATTAGGGCCCTTCTGAGCCCAGTCCTAGGAGACACAGTAGGAACTGAAACATGTCCCTGTCCTTTAGAAGACAGAGCTAGAAGCTGTGCCATCCTACTCCCCATCATAGGGCCAATTGCATCACATGCTAATTGTTAGCCTCATGCCTGCCTCCTCCACCAGACTGGGGGCTCCTTGAGGACAGGGACCATCTTTAATGCAACCATATGGACCCAAGGCCCAGGACTGTCTGGCATGGAGGAGGTACTCAGGAAATGCAAGAGGGAGGTGGGAGGGCTGGATGGACAGATAGACAACTAAGTGAACAGAGCTAGAAATAAAGAAGACACAGTCCTAGCTATCAGGATGCTGGGAGGAGAAAGATGCATGAACAATCATGTCAGTGTGATGGGGTAAGATAGAGATCCCCCAGAGGCCTAGCCCAGCGTGAGGGGTAGCTTTCTCCTTTCAGATACTAACATCTGTTGAGGCACTTATGCACCAAGGCCACACAGCTTGCACTTTCGAGTGGCAGAAGGCTCAGAGAGGGATCACCTAGCTGCATATCTCTGAGGGGCTCTCAAGGGCAGAACAAGCAGCTGTGGGTGGAAGTTACAGGAAGTGGACTTCAGGACACCTCATGATGGAGGGGGCTGCTTCTGTAGGTAGTGAGCACATCATTCCAGGGGGTATGTGAGCAGGCCTGGCCAGTCTTGGGAACCCACATTAGGCTGCATTTTGAACCCAGTGAGCATTAAGATCTGACAAAGCCCTGGGTCCTGGTCATTCTATATAAAATTCCAGAGACAGTGAGACTGTGGGGGAAAGGGCAATTTCTTCTTCAATAGGAGGAAACTGAAGTCTGGGCAGTGTTTTATATATTTAGGGCTTCTGTAGCTCTCAGTCCCCCTCCTGAAAAACATCAGGGAAGGTGGTATCTGACCTGGCTCCCTCTGAAAATGGTGTGATTTGTTCTGGTCATATGAAAATGCTTGCAAACACCATGAGCAGACAGCCCTGCAGGCCCTGGGGTTTGTGCTGCCTGCTCGGGTTATTGGGGTGGGCTGGGGGAAGGACAGGGACAGGTTTCAAGCAGGGAGGGACAAGACCATGTTCCCAAGGGACAGGTGAGGGTAAGGCAGGCAGACTAGCCAGTTGTTTGGGAGTAGAATTCTGGCTCGGGAGTCATTAGGGGCTTACAGGAGGGCTGAGGGAGATCTCTGAAGTGGGAGCTCAGCCAGAAGCCAATCACTAGCACTAAGGGCTCCAAGAAGGGTGTGGTGCCTGTGTGAGCGTGGTGATGAGGGGAGTGTGCATTTGTGTGTGTGGAGAAGAACGTGTGCTGTGTACACTGTGAAACCTGTGTACCTGGGTGTCCACGATGAATGCGTACACTAGTCAGGGGTGGACACTCTGTGTTGAGGCAAGGACACAGTGAGGTGGGGACGTGTCAAGATGTATCCATGTGCAGTGGTTGCTGGTGTGTATGTAAAGAGGGGTGTGTCCACATGAAGTGTGAATGCGATGAAGGGTGAGGCTGTGAGTTGAGTGCGCTGTGTGTACATGTTGAGGGGTGTGTACGTGGTGAAGTGGTTGCCAGTGTGTGCCCTTGGTGAGGTGGTATGTGGTACGCTGCAAGCGCTTGCTGAGGGGTGTGTGGGAAGGGTATCCTGGCTCTCTGTGCATGATGAGATGTGCGTAACGCAATGAGATGCGTTCGCTCTGCGCTGACTGAAGTTCGTGACAGTGCTGAAGTGTGTGATTACTTCATCATGAGGTGAACCTCCACTGTGTGTACATGAGAGGATCAAATGAAGGAGGGTATAGACTGTGCTTGCCTCAGAGCAGCTGACAGAGCTTGGCTGGGGAGGGCTGAGGAGGTCTCCTCACTGCCACCATTACTCCTGGGGATGCTGGAGATGCAGGGGTACTAGGGTCCATGCTGCCCTTACAGCTGTGACCTCACCAGCCTTGTCAGAGTCCGTGTTCCAAGTGCAGATGGGGAAACTGAGCCCTTTTCTACCTCACCACGTGGCTGCTTGAGACCAGGCAAGCCCCTTTTTTTCTGTACCCCAGTTTCCCCACCTGTGAGATAAGGAATGTTGATTGGCTCTGAGGACCCGCCCCCATACTGATGTATCAGGATCTTCTGAGCACACCACCACCACCAACCTAGGGCCAGGCTCTAGTTCCAGGTCTGGAGACCTCTCCTACCCTCAGGCCTGGTGTTCTCATATGGGCGGGGTATCCTCCTTCCCAGCCCAGGGCTCTGCTTTGCTGTTGGGTGGTTTCGATGGCAATAAACCCAGCATAGAAGCCAAACTCTCCGAGGTGGGGAGCGAGGGAGCTTCAGGGCCTGGAGCTGAAGAGAACCCTCAGCTCCCTTTCCAGGTGAGAGGTCTGAGGCCAGGCGGCAGGCGGGGCACTGGAGAGTATGGGCTGCTTTCCCAGCCACCCTGGCTGAGACCTGCGCTCCATCCCCAGGTGCCCGGCGGCGGCGGCGAGTGGAGCACCGCGCTGCTGTCCCCGCGCGAGGCGGACGCCGCGGCCGAGGGACCTATCCCGTGCCGGCGCATGCGCAGCGGCAGCTACATCAAGGCCATGGGCGACGAGGACAGTGACGAGTCCGGCGGCAGTCCCAAGCCCTCACCCAAGACTGCGGCGCGGCGCCAGAGCTACCTTAGAGCCACGCAGCAGTCGCTGGGAGAGCAGAGCAACCCCCGCAGGTGAGCGCGCAGCCCCGCCCCTAGATCCCGCCCACAGGCAGGCCCTGCCCCCGGGAGCCCCGCCCCTGGGAAAGTCTTTTCTTTGTCTAAGTCCCGCCCCGGGAGATCTTAGGGCACTGTTGAGTCTTGCCTCCTGGGAGCCCCACCTCTGGGGTGAGTCCTGCCCACTGTGAGTCCTGCCCCTTAAGGGGACCCCTCCTTTAAAGTGAGCCCCGCCCCTGTAGGAACCCTGCCCGCGGACTAACCCTGGCTCTTGGAGCCCCGCCCCTTCAGGTGAGCTCCGCCCACACGTGAGCTCTGTCCGCTGTGCAAGCGCCGCTCACAGACAAAACTTGCCCCTTAGGTGAGTCCCTCACAGGTCCCGCCCCTGGGAGCCTCGCCTGCGGTGAGCCCCTGCCCCCAGCCCTGCCCTATAGATGATTCCTGCTCTCCAGCCTCAGATCAGGCCCTCTAGTGAACCAGTCCTCAGCTTAGCCCAGTCCTTAGGTTGGCCCCTCCACCTTGATGAGTTGACCCCGGAGAGCCTTGCCCTTTGGGGAACCACCCCATGACCCTACCCACAGTTAAGTCCTGACCACAGGTAAACTCCGTCCTTTGGTAAGCCCTGCCTATAAAGAGACTCTCTTGGTGACTGCCCCAGGTAAACCCTGCCCACTCATGACCAGGTGAGTTCCATTTCCACAGAAGCGCTGCCCCGCGGGATCCTCTTCAGGTTCAGAGAAGCCTGCCCTTAGTGAGCCCATCACACTTACCAACACTGCCCAAGAGCCTCTGTAATTGATCCCCATGCTAAGCTCCAAGATTAGGGGCAGGGGGTATATGCAGAAGTCAAAGAGAGAGAGAGACAGCCTTCACCTGCCCCCTTACCATTCCTGGAAGTCCATGATTCTGCCCCACCTTGTTGCTTTAAGACTTGGAAGAGTTGGTGGGAACAAGCTTATACCTACTTATTCAGCTACCTCCGAGCAGTAGCACGGAGCAGGGCGGGGCAGTGTACTCAGAGCAAAAGTCCAGGTGGCTGGTTCAGAAGGCAGGGGAATGGGTGGGACACTACTGGCCAAACCTGGGTCTGCCCCTCTCTGAGCCTCAGTATCCCTACTTTAAGTGAGGGGGCTGAGCTGGATGATCTCTAAGACCGCTTCTAGTCCTGAGATCCTAGGATTCTGTGAATGACCAGAGGGCATTAAGGTGGGAGAGGTGGACAGGACCAGGGCACAGGCCTTGAATAACCCAAAATCAGTAATAATAATAGTAATAGCAATACTAGTAATGGCCACTATCTATTAGCATTTACTGCACGCTGCCCTGATGCCCCATGATCAGCATCACTAAATCCTCACCACAGCCACAACAGGCAGGCAGTGTCATCCCCATTGTACAGGTGAGGAAACAGGCTTAGCAAGGGGTGGTGACTTGCGAGGTCACCCAACAAGGAAGCTGGATTCCAATGCAATCTTTTCATGTCTGAGACCTTGGGCTTTATCCCTAGAGCAGGGCTTGGAGGAGGCCCAGCGTCAGGCAGGTGTGAGAAAGATGGAGGAGGCAGGGCATGGGGAGAAGGGATGAGTCTCCAGGGACCTGGTGGAGTCTTCGTGGACATTGTGGCAAAACTGAGGCCCTTTGGACAGCCCTAGCCTGAAGCCAAGGTATCCGGCCTCTGGGATTGTCCCAGATGGGCAGGGAAGAAGGCAGGGGAATTTGAAGTTGGGCTGAGCTGAGTTTGGACTTGGAATGGTCAAATGCAAGCTGGTGCTGCCATCTCGTGGCTACAATGGGCATGACAGGTGAGAGCCACCTCTACCCTCCAGATTCACCGTATAGTCAAGGCCTCCTAAAGCTAGGCGCTCTCCCCTTGCTCTTCACCGCCAACCACTGTCTGAGCTGGCAGTGACTTCCCTTTTACCCTCTGCTGCTGGATGACCTTGGCCAGCCTTTCCCCCTCTGGGCCTCAGTTTCCCAGGCTGGACAATGGGTGGGCTGAGCCCCATCTGCTCCCCACCCCCACCAGGAGCCTGGACCACCTGGATTCAGTGGACATGCTTCTGCCCTCCAAGTGTCCAAGCTGGGAGGAAGACTACAACCCCATCAGCGACAGCCTCAATGACTCCAGCTGCATCAGCCAGGTGAGGGTGGCGAGCAAGCCAGAAGGTCAGTGGGCTTGGGAGGGTCCCAGCCTCTGGCCCTCAGCTCGTTGACTCCCACCCAGGAAAGCGACAGATGTCCAGGCCCTATTGAGTGGTCCCCACATGTCTGCACTGTGCTTCCATTTGGTGTTTGTTCCTGAGTCTGCCTGTGTGTGTCGTTCTGCTCCACCTGCCATCCCTGTGGCAGGAGAGCACAGTCACAGGGCCTGACAGCATGGCCTCTTGAGCCGAGGGTCCTGAGGGAGAGGCCACACCACTGCTGTCAACCAGGCTGGGGCCAGAGGCCCCAGGGCCTTACCGCCTCTCCTTGGGTTCTGAGCCATGAGGACAGGGAACTGGAGACCTGGGTTGAAGTCCCAGCCTTGCCTCTGACAGTATGACCCAGGACAAGTCACCTCTCCTCCCTGAGCCTCGGTTTCCTAATTAACCATAGGAGGGTGATTATTCCTAGTTCAAAGTGTTGTTGCAGGGCTTTGAACCGGTTCATTCCCGTTCCAACTCCTGCTGAGGATTTGCGTTTCTAACAAGTTCCCTGCTGACAATTTACATTTCCACCCCAGATATACTGAATTGGAATCTACATTTTAAACAAGATCCCCAGGTGATTCTTTTGTATAAGTTCCTGGGAACTTGTTCAAAGTCCTGCTTGGCACGAGGACTAAATGAGATAAATAATGTGCTCAGCAAAGGGTAGCTATCGGTATGGTTGTTATTATCATCTGCTGTGTAACCTTGGGCAGGTTGCTTTTCCACTCTGGACCTCCGTGTCCCACCTATTCAGTGAAAAGCTAGACTTGCAGGGGCCAGCCAACTCTGCCACTAAAGCAATAAGCAGTCTGTGCTGCACTTTTAACTTACAAGGTACCGTCGCAACCCTCGGCTCCTTGAACCCTCACCACAGTCACCCCCAGGAGGCCTTATTATCCATATCCACATTTCACAGACAGGAAACTGAGGCTCAGAGAGATGCGGTCACGCACCTAGGAGGAGGAGAAGCTGGGCAGGGATCTGGGACTGTCATACCCCAGACTGCCGTGTGCACAGTACTTCAGGGTTTTTAAAGGGAAGACCAGCCAAGGCTCAAGGGTTTCCCCAATGCAGGCCTGAATTACCCAATAAGCAAGGTACATATGGGCTTACTTGTGCATACTTAACTAATCTGTAGTGAATAATTTCACCATGTCAAAGTGAAATTGTTCACTAAAGATTAGTAAGTAAACACAAGGAAGTCTGTGCGTACCTTACTTACTGGTTATTCCACCCTGCCCCCATGGTATGGATGAGGAGACTGAGGCCTGGAGCTGGCAGACACCTGCATGTAGAAGCACAATGAGGCAGTGGGGCATCCAGGTGCAGACCAGCACTTCTCTGGGCAGGAACAGGCCTCAGGCCCCACAGGAAGGCATTGGGGCCCACCTCCTCACCGCTCAATTGTTCCTGGCCTGGCCAAGCCCTCCCCAGCGCCCCAGCCCCAGCACTATCATTCCCAGACTCCCAGGAGACTGACCTCAGACGTGGGGAAGGGTAGAGGGCCCCAGCCCACAGGACCCTCTGCCGCTGCCACCCTCATCCAGGCCCCACCAAGTCTCACCTGAACGGATGCCTGGCCTCCATGCCCGCCAGCTCCAATCTGTTCCCGGCCGCCAGAGAGAACTTGTAAAAGACGTAAGTCAGTTCACGCCATGCCGCTGCTCCAAACCCTCCCATGGCTCCCCTCTCACCCCGAGTGAAAGCCAGAGTCCTTACTTGGACCCATGAGGACTGCAAGGTCCAGGCCCTGCCTCCCTCTTGAACCTGATCTCTTACAAGCCCTACCACTCATTTAACTCCAGCCACTCTGTCCTCCTTTCTGCCCCTCACGCACCAATGCACCACCTTATTCCTGCCTCAGGGTTGTTGCATTTGCTGTTCCCTCTAGCAGGAGCACTCTTCTCTCAAGTCTTGGCAAGAATCAAATGTCACATCCTCAGAGAGGCCTTCCCTGGCCTTTGTCTGTTTTATTTTCTTGTCCGCACTTATTGCTGTCTGAAATTATATCTGTTTGCTTATTTACTTAATGACTGTCTCCCTCTTAAGAGGGTGGGGACCTTGCTGTCCTGTTCCCGGAGGTGTCCCCAGCATCTGGCACATGTCTGGCCCAGGGCAGGGGGCCAGCAGGTGTTTGCTGATTGGACAGCATCCTTCTCTGTCTCTCCCTGCCTACCAGGTTCTCTCATGTCTCAGTCTTCCTGTCTCTTTGTCCGTCTCCGTTTTTCTCTCTGTGTTCTGTCGCCCCTAATTCACGTTTTTCTCTGAGTCTCTCCAAGGTGTGTCCATCTCCATGTTTCTCTCTGTGTCTGTCTTTCACGCACGCCCTATCTCCATCCCCTGCCTGGCCCTGGCAACTGGAACAGTTTTACCCTTCGACAACACAAGGCTTGTGGAATCAGCCAGGCTGGGGACCACAGCAGCTCTCTCCCACCATCCTCTGACCAGCCCCAGCTGTCTCCTAGCCTCGGGTTCTCTGGCCCCCCACCCCCAGCCCCCATGCTCAGGAGCTTGAGCTGACCCAAGCTGCCTATTTTGCCCCAAAGTTGGAGATGTCCCAGCTTGGGCTGTGTCTCTGAGACCTGGATTCCTACCAGAAGGAACTCCTGTCCCATCAGGTACTAGACTGCTGAGGCCCTGCCTGGGGAAGAGATGGCTCTGAGCACCATCCCTGATCAGTAGATCCTGACCGTGGCCCCAGGGGCCAGGCCAAGAGAAGGACTCATAAACAGCAGCATGTAAGTCCTCAGCCATGCCCAGCCCTAGGAGGAGTGAGCCTCCCATCCCAGGAGGAAGCAAAGTAAGACATCCTAGCATCTGGGCCTCACCCAGTCTGGGGAGGAGGTTAGACAAGCTGGTTCCAAGTGTTCTTGTAGCTAAGCCTGAATACCCGACTCTAGCCCCCAACCCTGGTTCCCCCATAACCCTCCCCCATCTCTTTCCTGCAGATTTTTGGACAGGCCTCCCTGATCCCCCAGTTGTTTGGCCATGAGCAGCAGGTCAGTATGTTTGCCATTCTCTCATACCCCAACCCCAGAGTCTAGGGCCGGGTCTTAGGCTCGGCATCTGAATGGTCCTAGCCCCCAACCTGGGCAAGTACAAACAGTCACCACCAAGAAAGCCACTGCCAGTGAGGATGGAGTTTAGGTCCACATTGGTCCCCTGACGCTCCCCTCCCTGCCCTTATCACTTTACTCCTCTGCGCCTCAGTTTCCTCTTAAACATGGAAAAGAATGAGCTAGGTTCTATGGATGCGGCAAGAAATAACCTTAGGTTAATGGAAGACATTCCCTGAAAGTCTTCTGACTCCATCCCCAAAGTTGGATCAGGCCTGGGGAGGTTTTTATATGGATGGGCTAGGGACTGGGGTCTGCTGCTGGTGGCCTCCAGACCCTAGACCCCAAGTCCTCTGACTTTTCTCCTTTCTAGGGCTACAGCACGGCCTTTAAGGATGTTGGGGTATTGAAATGAATGGGGAGAGTATTTTACAAAAGTGGATGGAGTTGGTGCCAGTCCTGGCAGTGTCTGGGTGTCCTAAGGATGCCCCCTTCCAGGCACACCTGTCCTGGCCCTGGAAGTGGACCCCTCCCTCCCAGGCTCCAACCCCAAGAAAGTGGGGTAGGAAAGGTGCTCTGAGCTCAACCCATCACTGTAGCCAGAGTGGGCTTCAGGAGCAAAACTGGACCCACATCTCCTGATCCCAACCACAGATACCTTCTGCACTCCCTCCCCCATGTCATAGTTCTTCTTGAACACGTTATTCCAGAAGGTCCTTGGGGAGCCCACAGTGGGCCAGGTAGCAAGGCTTGTTCTCTTCTACTCTGAGTCTCCTCTAACGGCAGAACAATACCCACTTCAACAAGCCTGTGGTGAGGATGTCATGTGTTAACATACAAAGCCCCAGGGCAGTGCCCCCTACATAGCAGGTCCTCAGTGATACACACACCAGCAGCGCTGGCCAGCTTGGGAGCATCTTAACCAGCATTTACGAATCCTCATGTTCACTCCATGGAATTGCCCGTAATAATCGGTACAGCTTCCCAGGCACTTCCTCTCCCAGACTCTGTTCTAAGCACATGATATGCATCATTTTATCTTGACAACAACCCTATGAAATTAGGACAATAATTAGCCCCATTTTATAGGTTGGGAAACTGAGACACAGAGAGGTTAAGTGACTTGCCCAAGTTCATATAGTGAGGAAGGGATGGAGCCAGGGTTCAAGCCCTGGCAGTCTGGTTTGGGAGCTGTGCTGTTACTCGCAGTCCCGAAGCAAGACCTCGTTGCCCTTGGCAGTCACAAGAGCCTCTCAGTGTGCTTCAGGTCACAGCGAGAGGGTAAACACTTCTCACTTTAGTACCCACCCCCGTGAATTTTGACTGTGCCACACGGGCTGTATTTTAACGTATCAGCGCTGTCCAGTAAAACTTTCTGAAATGCTGGAACTGTTCTATAATCCGTGTTGCCCAGTTAGGTAGCCACTAGTCATATGTGGCTGTTGAACAAGTGAAATAGGCTGGCGTGACTACACCAAAACCAGACCTGTTGCCGTCGAGTCGATTCCAACTCATAGCGACCCCGTAGGACAGAGTAAAACTGCCCCATAGGGCTTCCAAGGCTGTAAATCTTTACAGAAGCAGACTGCCACATCTTTCTGCCGGCAGAGTGACTGTTGGGTTCAAACCGCAAACCTTTTTGGTTAGCAGCCGAGCACTTAACCGCTGTGCCACCAGGGCTCCTAGTGTGACTATAGTAGCCACTAGCCACATGTGGCTATTTAGGTTTAAATTTGTCACATGTGGCTAGTGGCTACTATATTGGGCAGCACAGATTTAGACCTTTGCAAGCATACCCTCCAAAGTGGGTAACAGTTCATCTTGTCATTTTACCTGATGCCGTCTCAGACAAGTACATAGGCATTCCGTTTAAATTAGATGAGGAAAAACTGACCCAGAGAGGACAGTGATGGCCTGAGGTCACACAGCCAGGTCAGGGGCAGAGCTAGCCCCCAGGCCCAGCTCCATCTTTTGCCCCACATAACCCTCAGTCTAGCCCAGGCCTTCCCCAGGACCTTCACCCGGTGCCTATCTTTGGCCAGCTGACTCCCTAGGTTATACTCTGTGGTCCTCGGTTACCAACATAGCCTGAGGCATGGATCAGACAGACCCTCCCAGAACTCTTGAAGAGTGTGTATTGTGAGGGGGTAAAACAGAGAAGCAGAGCTGTAGATTTGCAGGATTCTACATGGTCATCTCAGGAGGCACAGTTAGAAACCATCTAGACAAGGCTGAACTATATGCAAGTGGCAAACAGCATACATGTCACCACTGCCCGTGGCAAACATCACTAATCAATCGTCACTGCTATCATCCTCATTCCAGTCTCACCTTCTCTCACCAGACTATTACATCAGCTTCATCTCTAACCTCCTGCCTCCATTCCAGACCCCCATCCAATATCCTGCACACCAGGGCTAGATTAATCATCCTCAGGTATGCATTTGGAGTGTTGATTCTGCCACTTCCTCAATTCATGCCTCTGGCAAGAGTCTTCCCCTCACTACTGTTCTGTTGCTTTGCCTGTAAAATGAAGGAATTGGACCATAGGATGGTAAATAGCCAGCTCACCTACTCTACCCCCCATTCCAATATCACTAATTGATTACATCCTTCTTTCCTGCTAACTCAGATGTGACCTCAAAATCTACTATCAACTGACCGTGTGGATGCACAAGATATAATCTAGTTAACATCCTATGATATTCCAACTTCCTCCCCCATTTTAGAGATGGAAAATTGAGGCCCAGAGAGGTGCGATGACTTGCCCAAGATCCCACAGCAAAGGTTGTGTATTTCTTAAGGGCTCTATCTGCCCATCCCATATCTTGAGTGAGATGGGAGAGGTGGGAAGTGAGGCCTCACAGACTCTCCAGCCCTGCAGCTGAGCTGACCACTAGGCGCCCCTACCCCAGGGATGAGCAGCGCTGAACCCTGACGCCTGCCTTTGCCGGGACAGGTACGGGAGGCAGATCTGAGCGACCAGTACGAGGCAGCCTGTGAGTCGGCCTGCAGCGAAGCAGAGTCAGCAGCGGCAGAGGTGCTTGACTTGCCACTGCCCAGCTACTTCCGCTCCCGCAGCCACAGCTACCTGCGGGCCATCCAGGCGGGCTGCTCGCAGGAGGAGGACAGTGTCTCCCTGCAGTCCCTCTCCCCACCACCCAGCACCAGCAGCCTCAGCAACAGCCGCACGCTTCCAAGTGAGTCCCACGATGAGGGGGAGAGGGTTTCTTTGAGGGCATCCAAGGGACCATCCCTGCTGGGCCAGCCCTTAAGGAATGCTGGGGAGGAGTCACGGTGGGCTGCCCAGTACTGGAGGGATGGCTGGAGGCCTCAGAGGTTAACTGCAGACCAACTGACAAACTGGAGCTCAAACGGGCATCACAGAGACAGATGCCACCCATGGTGTAGGGGTTTGGAGAGTGCTGGAACTTACGGGATACTTGATTGCCCCTGAGTCCCCTGAGCTGGTCCAGCCCCCTGGCTTAGAGGAGCCACCTGCTGGTGGGCAGGGCTTATTGAAGCCCCTACCTGCCTGTTTGGATAGGTCGGGTAGGCACGCCTATAAGGAGGGGCAGAGCCTGCAGGGAGAGGACAGCATCCGCACTGAGCAGGTTTCTCTCATATCCGTAAGGAGAGATAACTTATCTTTTCTGATTCTTGTTCTAAATCCCCTGAGGATAACTGATGCCTGATCAGAGAAGAAAATGGACCCTAAGTCACTGAATGAAATAATGAACAGAAAATCAAGGCCAAGGAAAAACGTTGTGGTTTCTGGTTTAGTAGAGAGGGTTTTGGGCTTACTCTCACTAGCTAACTCTCCTCCTACGCCTGTTTTTCCATCTGTAAATTGAGGGTATGAGCTGGAGCCCAGAGACTTCTTGGGGAGATGAAGTAAGATTGTGCATTGGGAGGGTTTCGCAAGAACCTGGTACCTGGTAGGAGCTTAACAAGTGGTAGATGTTACTACTGGTTCTCAGACTTGACCCCGAGCTTCCTTACAGCCAAAGCCATAAAGGCAGTTGGGGTCAGATTGTTGTAGGAAGAAAAACAACTGTTTTAAGAGCTCAGTTAGCGTTTGATGTAAATAAATGTACTTGAATCCGTAGATATTCTATACACAGGTAAACAGTTTATTGACTGAATGAACTGGTCTTTGCAGGGGGCAGAGCAAGAGAAAATTTTCAGTATTGCCTTTTAAATCCACTCTGATCTTCTTGCCCTAGACTTAATTATGACTATGTTGGGCACATCTGTGAGACCATGCCCTTAAGTTTTCTGGAAGCCCCTCTGACCAGCCGAGAGGATCTACTACATGGCACCTTATTAGTTTTAGAGTGTTAATACTGGGTACTGCAGCTACACTCCTGATGACACATACCCAGTCAACAGCTTATGTACCTACTTATGTTGTTGTCGTGTGCCCTCGAGTTGATTCCAACTCATAGCGACCCTACAGCACAAAGCAGAACTGCCCCAAAGGGTTTCCTAGGCTATAATATTTATGGAAGCAGATCACCATGTCTTTTCTCCTGAGGAGCAGCTGATGGATTCAAATTGCCAACCTTTCAGTTAGCAGCCGAGTGCTTGACCATTGCACCACTGGGACTCCTTGTATCTACTTACAGATATAAATTTTTATACCCTTAGGCCTACATATGATAGGAAAACAGATGTAAAAACACATGCATACTGGTATTCTCATGTTACATATACAGCTAATATACCTGCACACACACACACACATACATGTATGTCTCCTTCAAGGCTCATGCCACCTCCACACCTGTGAGCAAATCACGTCTTCAGCAGATTGGAGCCACCAAAACAATTCTCACCTGGGCCCTCAGGGCGCCTCCCGTGTTACCCTGGTCAGCCCTCCCTTCACATGGCCACAGGGACCACTACAGACTTGCTCCTTTCTCCTCAAACCTTTGATCCTAGTGCTCAGTGAGTAAACTCACCTACCTCACAATGAAAATCAAAGCCACAGATCTTCGAGCCTGCGCCCAGAGCTGCCGCTGGTCCATACGGCACGTTTGTGCTGAGTTAGGAAAGGGCGCCCCTCCTGAAGACACTTAACTGCCATCTGTTAAAAATTGTCGTATTACACAGCTTTTATTAGAACAAGGCCCTTTACTGCCATCTGCCAGAAATTTGTTGCAATAATTATATAATTCAGTTATGTCTGTATTGTGAACAGCACCACCCCCTTATACGTGGCATCCTTAATCAGTATAAAATGTGTACAGCTATACATGGCAGTCCTGCCTATAGTCACCTCCCTCCACACAGACACACACACACAGGCACACCCTCCCTCAGCCACTGTCCCCCTGCAGGGTCACCCCTGCTCAGAAGGCTACCCTGCCTCCTCAGGGTCTGTCCCCCTAGCCTGTTCTGAGCCCCCAAGTTGCTCAGGAGTATGAAAGCCCTTTGTCACTCCCACATGGGCACATATATACTCATGCTATATACAGGCGGGTGGGTAGACGTGGGTGAGGGGCGGTACTGAGGCAGTGAGAGCCTGGCAGGGGCTAGGCCACTCAGAGTGACTGTGGGCAGAGCATGCAACTGCCCACCCACCCACACAGAGCTGGCCAGCTTCCCTGCTGCCAGCGCTGCTGCTGCCACCCCCTCTTCCCCTCCTCCTTTCTGACCCAGATTCCACATTCCAGAAATAGCTCTGGCAGGTGACTGGCAGGCAGGGGGCAGCTCCATTTGGGAGGATGGGGGAAGCAGCAACTTGGCTGCATGTACACGCCTCTCCCCAGTCAAAGGACCTACCCAGGAGGGGCCCCCGGGAGGGGCCTCAGGGGTACCCTCACCTCTTCTTCTGCCCCCATCCTGCATCTCCTCTCTCTACGCCTCTGAGAAAAAGAGGAAGAAGCCTTCCTCCCACTCTCTCCTCTCTCTTCCTCTGCCCATCTCCCATTCAGTCCTCTGTCCTTTTATCCATCCCTTTCTTCCATCTTCCCCTCCTCTTCCTCCCTGTCTCTCTCCCCTTGCATCTTGCCCTTCTGTCTGTCTCCCTCAGTCTTCTGTTCCTCTCCCCCATGCTCTCCCTTTGTTCCCTCTCAGTTTCTGGCCCTCCCCTCCACCCCCCCTCCATGTCTCTCCCACTGTCTCTGAATCACAAGGGAGGCTGTGACATCACCCACGGGGCTCAGCAAGCACTGTGATGGTGGTAGTGGTGGGCTGCTCGGTGGCACTCCAACTCCTGTCACCGGCATTCTCTATACCTGTGCATGCATGTGCACCCGCTGAAACACACACACACACACACAGAGATACCCACACTTGGGGTCACTTCTGGGCAGCTTGAGGCTCTGGGCTTAGCTGGGGTAGATTCTAGGCCTGGGAAACACCCTTGCTCCTTGCTCAGAGGCTCTGAGTTCTAGTTTCAGCTTTGCTGAGACTCTGGGTGGGTCCCTGCCCTTCTCTGGGCCTCAGAATCTCCATCTGTGTTGTGAGGGCTTAGGTCTGGGGACCCCTGAGCACCTCTAATCTGTGACAATCCAAGACCCATACAATTCTCTGCCCCTCCCTTCCTTGACTTCTTGCCCCACCCCTAGAGCTCTCCTGGTTTCTTCTCTGTTCCACACCCCCACCAATAGACATGGGAGGGGAGGCTGACAGAATCCCAGAAAGCAGTCAACCCTCCAGTCAACCTCTTCCCCTAGCACCACCTTCAGCTCAGCCCATCCAATCCCCAGAGCCTCAAAGAGCATCTTGTCCAGAGATTGCAGATAGATTTCAACTCATGTATCCTCTCTGATCGCTGGCCCTCAGGACTGAGATGAGTTAAGCAGAGAAGTGTGCCTCCATTGATTAGTGATGTCTGCCGTTGTGAGGATAGGTACACACATCTGCCATTCCTGATTCAGTCCAGTTCTTCCCGACATTCACACATATGCACAAACACGTTTAGACATTTTACACACAAAAACTATAGCCTAGCAAAGGTAAATGACTTGGTCAAGGTCAACGAACTGAATTTCCCAGGTGGTGCATCTGCCTGACTCGAAAGCCTTGAGTTACATTCTTCTGTGTGTGTGGGAGCCATCTGAGGTCCTGGAAAGGAGGTACTGTATGGTCACAGAGTTTGAGGGGGAATCATTTGGCAACATGGCAAAATGGTTTGGAGGCAGGGAGGCCACTCAGAGGCTGGGTCCAGGCAAGGGACAGGGAGGCCTGGGCAGGGGCTATTGGGGTTGGAGAGGAGTAGAAGGACCCAGGAAGCCTTCTCAGAGTGGGTGATGAGGAGCCAAAATTCCCTACTGCTGGAATGGGTAGCTCCCCACAGTGTGCACTGGATAGAAGGCAGGCTTTCTCCCTGGGCTCCACCAAGCCCTTGGACCAGGACATCCCTGGTTTATTGAGCATCAGCTGTGTACTCAGTGCAAGAATCATCACTCTCCTGAGTCCCATTTTTAGGCAGACCTGCTGAGCCTTCTTGGAGAAATAGTGATGGGGACTTAAGGACTAGTGGGCAGGCCTCAAATACCAGGATTGAGACTCTGGGATGCCCTTATGCCCTCGGGGTAGAGAACTCACCCCAAAGGAGGGAGACTAAGGTGCTTAAATAGAACAGTGGAGGCCCTCTACGCAGTGCAGTGGTTAAGGAAATGAGCCTTGCAGTCAGGCAGCCCTTTACTCAATAGATCTCCTGCTATGTGCCTGGCTGTGCTCCAGATACCAGGGAAACATCAGTGAACAAAACAGCTAAAACCCCTGCCTTCATGGAGTGGACATTCTACTGGGGGTGGAGGGGGGGGAGGCATGCAAAATAAACATAAATAACATAAATATCATATGGTTTATTGGAAAATGTTAAATACTATAATAAGGGTTATTGGGAGTGCTGGCAGGGTGAGGGGAGGGGTGTTGCAGTATCAACAGGGTCAAAACCTGTTGCTGTCAAGTTGATTCCAACTCATAGCGACCCTATAGAACAGAGTAAAACTGCCCCATAGGGTTTCCAAGGAGTGGCTGGTGGATTCAAACTGCCAGCTTTTATGGTTAGTAGCTGATCTCTTAACCACTGTGCCACCAGGGCTCCATCAACAGGGTACCCATTGCAACCTGTTGCTGTCGAGTCGATTCTGACTTGTAGCAACCCTATAGGTCACCGTAGAACTGCCCCATGGAGTTTGCAAGGAGCGTCTAGCGCATTCGAACTGCTGACCTTTTGGTTAGT